TATACATGACTATTTTTAGAAGTCAAGGATATATTTAACTCTTCAAACTAGTTGGTCTACATGTGCATACTAAGACATTTTCTTTAAACAATCCTTGTATTAAAATTGTGGAATATATTATTGATTTTTAAAATAAAGTTTATATATTTTTCTTGAAATATTTGTTATTAATATTCTTCACATATATATGTAGTTTTAAGCATTTCTTTTTTATATCACAAAACTTATTTGAGTGATTTTGAAATTGTCCAAAAAAATATAAGAATTACCAAAGAATGAGGCTGTAGTTAGACTAAATGCACAAATAAATAAATCTCTCATTTGCTATAAATTTATTGGTAATGACAATTGACATTTTTGATATTTAAATAAGAATGATTTTACTTCTAATAAATATTTATTTCAATAAAATAAATATACAGTAGAGCATCGATTATCCGAATCATTTGGGGACTGGGGTTGTTCGGAAAATTGATATTTTGGATAACCGATTATGTATGATAAAATATAATTACCTATCCCACGTTGAAATTTTTCTCCGTTGCGTGTCGCTTTGCGTTGAATTTTCGTCAATGTTAAGCCTGACGAAGACTATTGTATCGTTAAAAATTAATTTTTTATTTTGTACAAACAAAATAAATATATTGAAAAATATAAAAACAATAAAAAATCATACTTCAGAAGTTAATTTAATATCAAAAACGTAAAATATTTGAGTAGCTCAAGATATAGCCAAAGATCGCAGCACCACAGCACTGGCAAAAATTTAAATTTGCCGACTGGAATTCTTTTGGATAATCGATGCTCTACTGTATGTATATGCTCAAATTACTGAAAGTAATACCAAGTTAATCAGGATTTGAAATTGGTAGTTGTCAGGTTGTCTTGGGCAGCCAAAATTTTCTTTGGCCTACCAAATGTGGTTAAAGAAGTGGTCTTGATGAATGAGCAATGTCATTTATTTTTTTTAAACTTCTTCATACTTCCCATTTTTCTCATTAAATCTTCATTAAATATTTTTAGTTAGTTAGTAGTAAGACATGTCAAGAGCTATAGATGACAAATCAAATACAGTGGTACCTCAGGATACAAAATTAATCCGTTCCGAAACTGAGATCGTATCATGAAAATGTTGTAAGGTGAATCATTTTTTCCCGTACGATTACATGTAAAACTAAATAATTCGTTCCAACACGAAAAACACACTCAAATTAAAGCTAAGTAGTACATTAAAAAAAATAATATAGTAAGGAAAACATTGAAAAATGCGTTTTGTAGTTGTAAATCTATAAATAACCATAATAGAATAATAATTGATTAAAGAAATGTTTTATTTGCACTTTATCTTTGAGGATAGATGACGATGGGGATGTAAACTGATGGCGGAGAGAGGGAGAAGGGAAATGATACTAAAACTTAACTTATATAACATAATGTAACAATAACTTAAAAATAACTTAGAAAAGATTTTAAAAATTAGTGTTGTTTTATATATATTTTTTAAAACTTTTATTCACTTTTTTTTGCTTTCTTTCCTTCACTTCCACCAGCACTTTCACTGGATAGAGGTTGCTTGGTAAAATATCTATCCAAAGAGGTTTGGCTTTCCTGCTTTTTAAAATGTTTCTAAAATTACTTAGGTAAATGTCATGACTCTGAGTAGCAATACGGCCAGTGTGAACCTTTTCGGGATGTTTCTTTTCAATAAAATTAGTCACTTTCTAATAATATCTCAAGATTTCCTTTATCGAGCGAGATCCTGCCATAACGAAGCAAACACGCGGACTGAGACCAATGAACAGAAGTGAATAAAAAATAACGCTGCGAAATAATGTAACGTCGTATGATGAGTTTTTGTTCGTATCGTGGAGCAAAAATATGTTCGAATTTCATGTTGTATCCTGAAAATTTCGTATGCTGGGGCGTTCGTATCCTGAGGTACCACTGTATATCTGCCATGGAATATAAGATGAGAAAAAGAACTTAAGCATTGATTGGTAAAAGGAATTGATTGATATTTATTTAGGAACTTCTATTACTTTTTGATAAAATGAAAAATTATACATTAAGTATAAACATTCTAATAACCTGAGTTTTGATCAAGGCCAAATGATCTGTCTGATTATATCAGGCTAAAAGTTTTGAAAAGGGTAAAGCATTAGCTGGCTGAATGTCATGGGGGAAACAAATTTTCATAGGGTTAAAAAATATATTTATATAAGTTATTTAAACATTTATCACTAATAAGACTACATTTATAAATTATAAGATTAATATACAGTAATTGTATTTACATAGCGATCACTGATTTTAATACAGTGCACAATGTGAATAAAAGTAAAGATTTGTTGTGTGCTATGAAAATTTAATATTTAGGCAACCTAAAGTCTATATTAAGAAACAAAATTTTCATATTTATTCTTTTATAAAAATATTTAATGAAATTTAAAACATGTATATAATGGTATTCATTTCAAGTATCAAGTTCAAGTACTAATATCTTCCTTTATATCATAGTTAATTGTGATATAAATAAAGATATCATTAGTAGGTATAAGTAGACTCCCTTTGATTATGTTCTCAACTTCAGTTGTATTAATTGCCAAACTGATGATTTATTCCAATTTGAGAAAGAGAGAAGTAATTTAGAATATATGATAAATTTAAGCAAAACATGATTAACATATCCATTAGAATTTATAAAAAAAAAAGTTAATTTTATCAACTATACTAAAACTTGTTTTTATACTATATAGTGATGAAAAATTGTATTTTATTATTATTCAAAAAATAAATTATATGCATTACTTACAATAAAATCAAATTATAAAAACACAATTATCTCCTTTAAAAAGTAATTGATAATCATTTGTAGAATGATAAAACTTTGATCAAATAAAATTCTTGTTACTAACTTGTAAGTCTGTTCAGTTGCACATTATCTACATATATTCATATAAAGTGATCTAAAATTATTATTTGATTAAATGTGTTTTAAGATGCATTCTGCTTGTTTTAGCGATAGTTATTGATACCTTAATAAATTTTATTTCCATCAGTTGTGAATACTAATCAGTCCTTCTGTGTAAACTGGATGATGATTCATTATATAGTAAACCTCTGCTAATATGGACTAATAGGGGGTGAGATGGTTTGAGTCTATAAATGACTGCATTAGTGAGGTGTTTCTCTGACATGGAAAACAAGATGGATATAGTGTATGTAATCTATTACAATCAGTTCTATACATACATTAAATTTTAGTGATCTTTTAGTAGGATATAATGCTGAATTTATTACAGGAAATGAGCTTAAAAGTTTTCATGATAGCCCAATGTATACTCTCTAGTAATATAATTCATAGTATCATAGACTTCAAGATATTGAAAATATTTGTTAATTATAATTTTTATTTTGTCAATAAATTTTAAATTACTGTAATTTTTTGAAAACATTTGCCTAAGTTATGCAAAGTCAAAGTTAGTGGGAGGTTTACTGTAATTATTATGGAAATCAAATTCATAAAATAAATACGAATGAATTCAAGAACAAACAACTTCTGGTTTTAACACGCAATTTTCTGGAATCAGAAGTTGTCTTTCTGTTAATCTGACATTTAAACAATATATTTTAGATTCTGTAAATTAAATATTTAAGTAAAGATGATGATTCATTTTAAAAATGCATAAATGGATGACTTGTTTATTTTTATTAAGAACATTCTCAAAAAATTCAGTAAGACTTTAATATGGATTTTAGCTATGAACTGTTTATATTTGTAATAATGTAATTTTTACTTATAGAATAAATTAAAAACTCTTGAATTAATCAGAATAATAATTTACAAATTTCTCAGATGAATAGATTTTGTTCAAAATATTTCATTATTTTTATGTTCTGTTTGAGTTTAAATTAGGCTATATACTATGCAAAGCTGTTTTTTTAAATTTTTATTTCAAAGACTCTTCAGTCCTAAAATGGTTTTAAAATAAAAATGCACACGGTTATCTTGATGATAATCATTCCAAGCATCTTGACCTTAAATTGCTTTGTTATATACTGGCTATTTTGATATAATATATATGATTTACCAAAAATTTTATTATTGATAAACATTTAACTGTTTAAATTTTGATTTTAATATTATAAGATACCTACATACATAAAATGTACAGTACATTACCTCACTGGCTTGCTTACCCCACCTGTAGATGTGAAATGTTTGAGTAGAGACAATTGTTTTACAGAAAAATCTGAAACCTCAAAAAAAGTGTTGCATTCTGTTACAAGAACCAAACTTCAACACAAAGGCCAGCTAACTACTTTTAAAGATATTTTATTGTGATTTAATTTTTATGTATTGATAATTTGTTAAATTATAGTAGTATCTTTTGTCTTCTCTTGCCATTAATTATACTTTATTAAATTTTTAAAATTCACACACACACACATATATATATATATATATATATATATTCACAAACAAAATTATATTTAAAGAATTATAAAGTGTAATGTAAATGTGGAGAATTATGAAACAATGTGAAATGCCAGATGTGATAAACCCCTAGTATTTATAAATAGTTGGTCCTCTGTATTTATAGGGTTTAAGGGGGGTGTAGGACCTTCATGAAAGTGGAAAAATAAAAGGTAATAGTAGACTATACTGCAATAGTATGCTTTTATACAGTGGTCAGCAACCTTTTTGTTACTAAGGGTGCAATAAAAATTTTAAAAACCATTGAGAGTGCATAGTTTTTTTTGTTATAATAAATAAACCAAATAATTATATTTTGAAATATGTATATTTACACAAAATAAAGATTATCCATTCCTATTACATGCATATAACATACTAATTCTACTAATAAATATCCATGATTTCAATAAGTGAGTGCTATTTTATGTCTATTCAAATAAACAATATTTTTAAATTACTTTCTTAATACTGAAATTATGTATTATTTGATCTAACTTTTCATTTTTTTTTGCTTATTTAGTTAGAGGGTCACGCCCAGGAAAAAATGTTCAGTTGACAGAGGCAGAAATCCGTGGTTTATGTTTGAAATCCCGGGAAATCTTTCTCAGTCAACCAATATTACTTGAACTTGAAGCACCATTGAAAATCTGTGGTAAATAAATTTTTATTTTGAAAATAAGATATAATTTGATATAAATAATACCATACAGCTACAATAATGCAATAATTACACAAATTTATAGATATGTCATTAATTATTATTAGATATAATGCCAAATTTAAAAAAATTTTTATTAAAACATTACTAGACTAAATGCAAAAAAATTTTATGAACTTTACCATAAAACATGAATATTTATTTCAGTGTCAAGTGGCATAAAATAATGGGATAAAATAGTTTTGATTGTTTTATCATTTACAGTTTTTTTAAAGTAGTTTGTTTTTCAAGTGATTGAGTTTTTTTAGCTAATTTGATTGAATGCCATAATTTTTCTATCTGAAAAGTCTTGGCATTCAATCAAAATGTCAAAATTGCTTTTTTCTTTGATTCTTTTCTTCCAGAATATTCCAAATTATTTAAAAAATATTAATTTAATTATAATTTATTAAATTTAATAAGAGATGGTGCGTAACGTCTCCCTCTAGTGACAAATTATTTAGTAATTAATTAAATATAATTGTGGAAAAGTAGCCAGATGTAATCCAGTGGTTGTTTGGNGAGTTTTTGTTCGTATCGTGGAGCAAAAATATGTTCGAATTTCATGTTGTATCCTGAAAATTTCGTATGCTGGGGCGTTCGTATCCTGAGGTACCACTGTATATCTGCCATGGAATATAAGATGAGAAAAAGAACTTAAGCATTGATTGGTAAAAGGAATTGATTGATATTTATTTAGGAACTTCTATTACTTTTTGATAAAATGAAAAATTATACATTAAGTATAAACATTCTAATAACCTGAGTTTTGATCAAGGCCAAATGATCTGTCTGATTATATCAGGCTAAAAGTTTTGAAAAGGGTAAAGCATTAGCTGGCTGAATGTCATGGGGGAAACAAATTTTCATAGGGTTAAAAAATATATTTATATAAGTTATTTAAACATTTATCACTAATAAGACTACATTTATAAATTATAAGATTAATATACAGTAATTGTATTTACATAGCGATCACTGATTTTAATACAGTGCACAATGTGAATAAAAGTAAAGATTTGTTGTATGCTATGAAAATTTAATATTTAGGCAACCTAAAGTCTATATTAAGAAACAAAATTTTCATATTTATTCTTTTATAAAAATATTTAATGAAATTTAAAACATGTATATAATGGTATTCATTTCAAGTATCAAGTTCAAGTACTAATATCTTCCTTTATATCATAGTTAATTGTGATATAAATAAAGATATCATTAGTAGGTATAAGTAGACTCCCTTTGATTATGTTCTCAACTTCAGTTGTATTAATTGCCAAACTGATGATTTATTCCAATTTGAGAAAGAGAGAAGTAATTTAGAATATATGATAAATTTAAGCAAAACATGATTAACATATCCATTAGAATTTATAAAAAAAAAAGTTAATTTTATCAACTATACTAAAACTTGTTTTTATACTATATAGTGATGAAAAATTGTATTTTATTATTATTCAAAAAATAAATTATATGCATTACTTACAATAAAATCAAATTATAAAAACACAATTATCTCCTTTAAAAAGTAATTGATAATCATTTGTAGAATGATAAAACTTTGATCAAATAAAATTCTTGTTACTAACTTGTAAGTCTGTTCAGTTGCACATTATCTACATATATTCATATAAAGTGATCTAAAATTATTATTTGATTAAATGTGTTTTAAGATGCATTCTGCTTGTTTTAGCGATAGTTATTGATACCTTAATAAATTTTATTTCCATCAGTTGTGAATACTAATCAGTCCTTCTGTGTAAACTGGATGATGATTCATTATATAGTAAACCTCTGCTAATATGGACTAATAGGGGGTGAGATGGTTTGAGTCTATAAATGACTGCATTAGTGAGGTGTTTCTCTGACATGGAAAACAAGATGGATATAGTGTATGTAATCTATTACAATCAGTTCTATACATACATTAAATTTTAGTGATCTTTTAGTAGGATATAATGCTGAATTTATTACAGGAAATGAGCTTAAAAGTTTTCATGATAGCCCAATGTATACTCTCTAGTAATATAATTCATAGTATCATAGACTTCAAGATATTGAAAATATTTGTTAATTATAATTTTTATTTTGTCAATAAATTTTAAATTACTGTAATTTTTTGAAAACATTTGCCTAAGTTATGCAAAGTCAAAGTTAGTGGGAGGTTTACTGTAATTATTATGGAAATCAAATTCATAAAATAAATACGAATGAATTCAAGAACAAACAACTTCTGGTTTTAACACGCAATTTTCTGGAATCAGAAGTTGTCTTTCTGTTAATCTGACATTTAAACAATATATTTTAGATTCTGTAAATTAAATATTTAAGTAAAGATGATGATTCATTTTAAAAATGCATAAATGGATGACTTGTTTATTTTTATTAAGAACATTCTCAAAAAATTCAGTAAGACTTTAATATGGATTTTAGCTATGAACTGTTTATATTTGTAATAATGTAATTTTTACTTATAGAATAAATTAAAAACTCTTGAATTAATCAGAATAATAATTTACAAATTTCTCAGATGAATAGATTTTGTTCAAAATATTTCATTATTTTTATGTTCTGTTTGAGTTTAAATTAGGCTATATACTATGCAAAGCTGTTTTTTTAAATTTTTATTTCAAAGACTCTTCAGTCCTAAAATGGTTTTAAAATAAAAATGCACACGGTTATCTTGATGATAATCATTCCAAGCATCTTGACCTTAAATTGCTTTGTTATATACTGGCTATTTTGATATAATATATATGATTTACCAAAAATTTTATTATTGATAAACATTTAACTGTTTAAATTTTGATTTTAATATTATAAGATACCTACATACATAAAATGTACAGTACATTACCTCACTGGCTTGCTTACCCCACCTGTAGATGTGAAATGTTTGAGTAGAGACAATTGTTTTACAGAAAAATCTGAAACCTCAAAAAAAGTGTTGCATTCTGTTACAAGAACCAAACTTCAACACAAAGGCCAGCTAACTACTTTTAAAGATATTTTATTGTGATTTAATTTTTATGTATTGATAATTTGTTAAATTATAGTAGTATCTTTTGTCTTCTCTTGCCATTAATTATACTTTATTAAATTTTTAAAATTCACACACACACACATATATATATATNCTTCGGTTTTTTTACTTCTGAAATTAAAATTGCATCTACAATTAAAAATTTAGATTTTACAATTTGTTTTACAATGAAATAACTACTCCAGTAATTATATTAGTATAGATGCAATAGTATAAGTGGAACTATGTTGTTCAATAGTTAGTAAAAGTTGATTTAGTTTAACTCAAAATGGATACACTGTATTTTACTGTATAAGTAAAACACGCTTTATCAGATACTTAAAAATACCTGGAATTTTGACAAGATCAAGATATACTATAGAATGCATCTGAATTTGAATCAAATTTTAAGATTTATTTTTATTTTTAATAAAATAATTTAACAGAATTTTATAGGGAAAATTTTTTAAGTTACAATAAGTAGAACAATGCAAAGGGCAAGAAGTATGTAATGTTTGGCAGCTCTGTTTTTTTGTTATGCATAATTCATTGTAATTCTGCATCAAATATTTCATCTTGAAGACATCCTGAAACATTAAAAACTGAATTTAAATTGCATGCATTACCACAAAATTTTATCTGAATTGATGTAATCATTAAGCAGTATAAACTAAAACATCTATTATATGCATAATGCACTGTACATTGGTGATGTCTACTTTCAATGACTGTTGATTGTTAAGAGATTGAACAATGATTATTGTTCTGTGAGTGAAAGATGCATTTCTATTTTGGGCAAAAAAAAATAGATTAAAAAAATTCTTCTTAAAATCAAAGAAATATGGTTGTTGGAAAGTTGCATGAGGATGTGAATAACTTTGCATAGATAAATATTAAAATTTGTCTGGAGTTGAAAGACACTATTACAGAATTTGAAGCAAAATTATCAATGTCACTAATTTCTTGAATTTATTCATATTTTATAAGTAGTTTTAAGTTAAGCACTGATATTTCTTTAGAGATTTTTGGGATTATTGTTAACCATGTTTTATATTTATGAAAGGTATGAAATGGGATGGTGAATGAATGGTTTTGATTTCAATTTTTCCATTTGAGTTCAAAATTTATGAAACAGTTTAGATTTTTATAAATTTTCTTTCTGTAGTGTTAAAGGAGGACTTACACAAAATGCTTATTTAGGGACAATAAACATCACATCAATGTATTTGGCATAATATTTCTATTGTATTGTAAATTAAAGGCTTAGATTTGACAAGATAACAGCTCAGTATCTGTTGTAATCATGTTTCTAAAATAATTTATAACAACAATACATTGTCCTATAAAATGAAGTGGAATGTGTTCTAATCTGATTTATTGATGTTACAAGTGATGTGCCAAAAATAACAGATTGGAATTGTTTTTAAAAGGAACACTTTGTGAACATATTATATTCAAAAGATCATTTCAGTTTTTGATGTAATTGTCCTCCATGCATGTATAAAATTATATTATTTAGTTTGAAATATTGGATTAGAATTCCTAGGAACTGAAAGCTATTTATAATTAATTAATATAATAAAATTATCCCACTTAATACTTGTGTAAAAATAATTAAATACTTTAAACTTTAGTTTTAAATAAACTTATTAATAATAAATGCATTTACAAATAATAATTAAGATATATCAAAATATATAAACTAGTCAAAACATGGATGTGGTAATTGAATATTTTCCCAAATGGGATCAAACCTGCCAGAGTATTGGCTATATTAAAATAAATTAATTGATGTATAAATGGAATAAATGCATCATGTTTAAAGGAATCTATTTTATTATTGAATGATGCAGCAGATGGTGCGTAACGTCTCCCTCTAGTGACAAATTATTTAGTAATTAATTAAATATAATTGTAGAAAAGTAGCCAGATG